AAACTAAATAACAAACAAAATAAACAGGATGGGAAATATACTTATTATAAATATAGAATATATAGAGCTAACATTTAATATATGTTTTTTCATATATCCGTGTCATTAGAAATCTCTTATTATTTTTGTTTTATTCTTAATATTACTGATTTGACTTAGAATAAGTTTACAACTCAGAATAAAATTGATAATTGGATTGGAATTGAAATTAAATTTTAATATAAAATTATAAATAAGAAATAAAATTCTAGTACAAAATATAGATTATAGATTATAATAAATATATATAAAAATTACATTTTATACATGATTATATTCATTAAAATAATTTATATAATTATATTTTGCGAATTAGAAATAAAAATGAAAAATCTATATTTTTTATATTGAAGATTAAGACATATTATAACTTTGAAAGAAAAATTATGAAAATATATTTAATTGATATCCTATACTTTAACTGATCTGACACCAAGAATAAAGAAAATAATAGAACACAAAGAGAATAAAAATTATGAAATCTATATAATGCCTTCTTTATTTTACAAATGAAATTCAAATATAGACAAAGAGACAAAACAATAGGAGAAGGATAAAGATAAAATAAGAATTAATTGAAAATCATTTTTTAAATGTCAAAGATATTTTTTAAAAGCAAAAGATAAAATTAAATAAGAATTGAAAACCAACACTATCTTTTGAATGTTTTTAAAAAGATAATTCTTAAAAAAGACATTTAACATTCAAGAAATGATTTTACAATTTTTATTTTATATTTATACTAATTTTTTTTGTTTATATTTCTGTTTCATTTGCGAACTCTGAAAATGGTGCTGATTCCCGATTTTTTTCATTGATTATGTCTTTTAAAAAATTTATTCGTTTAAGAAACAATTTCGCTATCTGATTAATTTTATAATAATTATATTATATTATGTTATAATTTTTTATTCTTTGTCTAATTTATTGATTAAAAATTTTAAATTTATTTAATGTAATTTTTATATATCGTAAATATATATATATCTTGTATATATATTGTATAAAGAATATATATATATATATTATTTTATTTTATTTAAATTTTTTTTATATGTTAATAAATTATATAATTATTAATATATAATATATAATATATAATATATAAATATATAATATAATTATATAATT